TAAAATGTTTTCCTAAACCTTTCCATATTTTAATGTTTGTGAAATAAGAATGTCTAATAATTAATGAGTATATTTAAGATGGTAGTGTTTCTCTTTTTTCTTGGTATATAATACATGTATCAGAGAATCCAGAAAATACACAGCATAAGCAAAATTTAGCATTAATAGAAATTAAACAGTTTTCTCACTGACAAGGTCAATTCTTGATTCTCTATGGTAATACGGGACAGCAGTATTCCCTAATTACAGAGAAGAATACATAAGTAATTTTAATATGTTTACCAAATATATCACATTTTTTTCAAATTGATCAAGTTTGTTCCCTAAACTAATGTCAAAGTCAGCCTGTTATCGTAACGATTCTAATACCTCAATCAAAAGCATACAACTATAAGAACATTAAACTGACAGTCGTCTTTTATGTTCTTTTAATATTCTATAACTTAAATCCATCTTCTTTTTCCCAAACACTTATGACTGGACTTTATTTTAAATGATGGCAAGATATACTGCTTCCTCAACCATGTCTCTCCTTGCCAAATTCTAAAATTCTGCTTACATGAGACAAATTCTTTATTATGTCTATAGGATTTATCTTTTGCCTTTTCCATTTTCCAGGACTCTTCCACTATCTAACATACACATCTCACCCTAAACATCTGTGCCCTGACAAGGGTTCAGCTCTTTAAATTATTAATTATTGATCTGCTCTCAATGTCCTTTTCTTACATAAGCCTTTCTTCTTCCCACTATACTAATCTGCCTAATGTTTTAAACATATATTCTTATTTATTAAAGGAATAATTCCTTTAATTATTTTTAATTCCTTACTAAAAACTAAGTATACAGCATCACATTAAAAATGATTATTTTAATTCTAATCAATGTGAAAACACGCTGGCAAAAACTTGGATAGCCAATAGAGGTAATTCCCCTAAAGATTTACCAAGTGAAGTCAGTCTAAATCTGCAAAGGTTGGGCCCAATCAGATTGTTTACTAGACTGAATTTAGGTAAATCTGCGTGATGAACATGAGTTACTTCATAGTCAAACATGCATTACTTACATCAGAACTTACATCCTGGACTCCTAAGAACAAAAAAAGTTTAAAATATTGAAAAGATTATAGGCTATTACCTAAAATGCTGAGCCTCTGGACGTTTGTTTTTGTTTTTCTGTAAATATATATATTTTCTGACACAAAGAATAGAAAAGATTCTTTAGGTAAAATAACAGCTTCTGATACTAAATCAAGATGATTCTACTGCTTAATTGTAACATATAAATGACATCAAAATTAAGATATCTGTTTTATTAATATGCTTTTATCAAAAAGAAAAATTGAGAATATCATGCTAAGTAAAATAAGTCAGTCAGAAAAAGCTAAGAACCATATGATTTCACTCATATGTGAGATATAAAACTGAAACTCGTGGACACAGACAACAGTGTGGTGGTTGCCAGAGGGAAGGGAAGGGGGGCCTAATATATGGTGATGGAAGATGGTTTGACTTTGGGTGGTGGGCACACAGTGCAATATACAGATCTTGTATCATATAAATGTATACTTGAAATCTATATGATCCTATTAACCAATGTCACCCCAATAAACTTAACTTAAAAAAAAGAAAAGAAAAATTAACCGGCTTTGACTCTAAACCACATCATCAGCTGTAAAGTTATCTTAATTTAGTTTCTTTAAAAGCTACAAACAATCTGTATGTAAAAATACTTAAAAGGAAAATTTATATTCTCGTGTAGAAGGGGAATGAGAATAGCTTACAAACGCTGTTAATTTCCCCAAAGTCTGTTCTTACCAAATTTTGGAACACTTTTAGAATTATAAATATAAATGCTAACAGTTACATTTTTCTGGTATAGAACACTAAATACACTATATTCAAATCTAGATATAAGTTTATATATACTTTAAGATTATCAGTCTAGTCATTTAATACTTATAATATATTTAACAATATTTCCTTAGTCACAAAGCTAATGCTTGTGTCATTTACCTGATAGGAAAAAACTGTCCAAAACATAATATAATTTAAAATTATCATTCTGAAGGTCAGTCATCTAACAAAAGTCATTCATAATTTATGGTATTTCTACAGTTTGATTAATTCATTTTAGTTAACACATTTTTATATTTGCATTTCCACAGAAATTATGAGTTAGAACATATGTATTGAAGAATGTATCTATGTAACTGAATTGACATTAAACCTATTTAATCTAGAACATTCTAAAAACTTCACTGAGCTGCCATAATTTTTGTCAGCATATGTAGTACTGAATGACCATTAAAATACCTGAATTGAAACTATTCCAGTCTAGCAGTTTGTAAGATCTTGTGTTACCCATAATTCCGACAAAGGCTGAGTTCAAAACAGCAAATTAGAAGATCAGTTTTAGGTGCAGAATAGTAGGGAAAAAACAAAACAAACTACAAATAAGAACACAATTGACAACACCACTCGACAGGAACTGGAAAGACACAGACAGCAAAGTTAATAAGAAGTTGAAATAGAAGAGAAGGAGGAGCATGCTACATAATCTAACATTAACTAAAGTTTAATTATTTAAGATAATTACCTTGATTTTTAAAACCACCCCATTCTTTCCTTTGTTATATAATCCTGTTTGCTAAATACTTAACAAAGAAGAAAGTTCTAAAAGAAATAACTCCAAAATAATAATCCATAGAATTAGCAGGTGGGAGTGGTTTTAAAATAAGATTATTTTTCCTTCTACACTCAGTGTGAAATGCAAATTTCCCATACTCACTAGCAAAAAAAAAAACAGCTGCAGAATTCATTTGATTGTGCACATACAGCACTTTTAACATTAGCACATGTATCTCAATTCATCCTAAGTTTCTCTCAGCGGACTAGCTCAGTGTCATAAGATTAACGCGACATCATTATGGTAGATGCCAATCTAGAGTTTGTTTTATCATTCAGCTTTTTTCAACAAATTGAAATATTTTCATAAATAGTTATTTAAAGGGCCTAAAGATTAATAAAATGCTCTTAAGAAAATATTCTCTTTTAAAGCATAAAAGATACATTAAGCAATCTAAAGAATGTGATAGTTATATCAAACAAATATTGGAACTATATGAATATACAATTGATTTGTATTTAACAGAAAGCAAAACAAAATTAAAATATAACTTATATACCATTAAAAGCATTTACATGTTTATGCCCATAATCGTTTGGGAAATAGTCCATTATTAACTAAGAATTTCTATATGTGAATTGAAAAAACATTAAGTAAGAGAAGGAAAGGCAGAGAATGGATGAGCAGGTAATTATAATATACAAAATGTATTCTTAACAAGGGTTCCTATTTTCTTCTCTAGGCCTGGATTCTTACACTTCTTACAGAGATAGAATAAACTGGCAAGTACGATACATCCCACAAAGCAGTTTTTTGTACAAAATAATACAATTTTAAATACAACCCTCTACTTAAACTCATTTAAGTAACCTTAATTTGTTCTCCCAGACTCTATAGCTTACTCAGAGTACATGGAAGCAATAATAAAAATGTTTTCAGTAAATAAAAGATAGCACCAATAATTGAATATATTCCTAAAACCATTTTTTGAAGTTAATGTATCAGTGTGTGCCATCTATCAAAATATTTGAGTCAGTGGTTCACAGAAGCACAGGCAACTAGCCCTGGGTCACATGGTTAACGTCAGGTATCTTGATGCAGTATTTTCTTCCACTTTCCAAATAATTCAAGTTTCTAAACACAAAAATACAAACCTTGCATAGTCTTCAAGGTATCAATACATTAAACTGGCATCAGTCTAAATTTGCCTTTAATTACTGCAGAATATACAAATACTACATGAAAAAAAAAAAAGACCTTGACTTGACCAGAAAAATAAGAAGGGGAAAAATATTAAATCATAGAAGAAAAAGAAGACTGATGCTTAAAAGATGTATTCGCTCAACTTTAGAGTTTTTATACATAATTCTAGCTAGTACTGCTTCTCTGAAATCTTGTTCAGAGTCTTAAAAATGTCAGTTTCTCTGTAATTATCAACTCAAAACAAATGACATCAAACCATAGGGCACAGATTATTTTTTTTTTAATTTAAAGGAATAGCAATGCTATGTATCCTCAAAATCATTATCTGCAATGTTTGGCATATAATAATAATTTCAAAGCAGTTCACTCTTTTTACAGCTGTCAGTACAAGCCCCAGGAAGAGGTCACTGGAAGTGACAATTTATAATTTTCAAAAATATATATGTATAGTAATATAACTTCAGGTTTAAGGTATGTCATTAAAATAATAAACAACCTGGGAAAGTGGGTTGGCCATTTTGTCAGAGATGCAAGCACACATTCCATACAAAAAGTTCCTACCATATTTATCATGTTTATTTTAGATTTAGAAAAATCATCAAACCATTTCTAACCCAAGGGCCTGAAATTACTGGGACTTTAATGCTTTTCTTCTTTTATAATCATGGCCCCATGTTTCAAAGAAGTGAGCTACTATTCTTAGTTGTTCAGTTATAGAGAACAAATAGCTACACAAAAGAATCCCAGGAGCCAGACAGTTTATTTAATTCTTAGGTGCTCTACACAACGTTTACAATTATTCTAAAAGAATACTTCTTTTTGGAATAAGGAAATGACTCAAATAATCTATAAAGAGTTGTTGCCAGTGAAAAGAATTAACACCTTAAGTTATGGTCACAATAGTCAAATTGTATCTGCCTTGCTCAGAGAAAATAGCTGACTCAAAAGTCACGCAGTGATTCCTTCAAAGTTGAGTCCTTGGCCAAAAGTGAATCAAGATTTGTATTTTTATTTTGTATAAAAAAGTAACTAAATTATACTTCTTAGTTTGATTATTTTATTTCTTATTTCTTGTTCAGATAAATTTGGCTTAAAAAACATGAAAATCTGTTTTAATAATCATAATCTAAATAAATGAAACATTGAAAACAAACTTTTTAAGAACATACCAGGATTGTGGATCCGATCCAAAAGCTTCACAGAGCGTGCACTAACAACGCCCCCAACGTGCACAAGAAATCCAGGAGGAAACGCAGTCAAGGTAAAAAATGGAAATTCCTAATAGAAAGGATGAGGGGAAATATAATTGACTGTGTGTAAAGTACAAAAACTTGTTAAAAAGCTTGTCATAAGGAAATAAATTCCATCCCTTAACATAAGGTTACCAATTATACATTAAACATGCTTTGTAATTAGGTTTCCTTGGATGTTGAGAGTTTTGAATCCATTTTCCCATATACATCATGTTATACAGAATCCAAGCACTTTTTATCAATTCTCAGAGAGAAAAATGTTCTCAGAGTTCCAATCTGAGTAAGAGTTATACTGTTGCTTCCTCTCAATCTCCTACTCTAACTAATTTCCAAATTCAGTGAGAGGATTCCCCTCTACCCCATACCTAGTTCTTACTGGGATAGGGTCCCCCTCACAGACAAACCCATTTCCAGGCTACTGGTATAGACTCCAAAGGCCAGAGCTAGAGATCTAAAAGAATGTGGGATTGAGGGAGAGGATGAGCCCTGTGGGTGAAGAAATACATAGAAAGGTGAAGATAGGGCAAACATCAAGTTGAGGTTTGCAGAGAATCACTGCGTGAGGTTATTTACTCTACCAACACCAGGGCAGCAGGAGAAAATGTAAGTTCATAAACGTATATTAAGGAGAGAGGTAACTAGATGACAGCAAGGGAAGCAATACAATTCCACATGTTCTTTGAAGCTTCACCCTTCCATCTCTCTCAAGGACACCAATCTCGTCAGTTTAGAGGCAAAGAGAAGCATGCAAGAGAAAAATGGTCGGGAAAGGAAATTCACTGAAATAGTACCCAGAAAGAAAGGAGAGCTCCTGTAGCTGCCCAAATATAGAGTTCTCTCACATTATACAAACTGCATGTGGGTCAGGGAAACTGAGTATCTGATTTGTCTGGCTCCAAGGTGAATGTAGCTCACTTAACCAGAAGTCACTTACCAGGAGCCTCAGCTATTCAGAACCTAACTGAGAACTGCAAAATAAGCAGAACAGGGCTCTCAACAGTAAAAGGAACCATTACAGTTCCAGGTACTAAAGTTTATGTATTTATTCCACAGATCATATTTATAGTATGGCATATAGTTATATAAATATATAACTTTAGGGACATATTCTAAAATATCTCGGTATCTTTTTTCTAGACCACAGCAGATTAAGTGCAGCAAATAAAAGCTGGAAGATAAAAAGATACAGAATACTACTAGAAGCAGATACATTAAAAGTAGCACAATTACTGACTGGAGAATACGAACTTAAAGCATGGAAAATACGAACTCACCAAAGCATAATTCACAAGCATAGCAACTTGGAGTCATTCAGCACAAAGGCAAACAATCTGATACACCTCAGTAACCCACGAAGATACAGTATAAAAACATACATATATATATATATATGTATGTGTATATATATGTGTGTGTATACATAATTAGAAATTAACTCAGTTAGAATGTAAAAGTAATCTTTAAATTAATAAGGGCAAGAAGACCTAAGCTGTGTAAACAGTAAAAGACAAGTCTATGGGAGTGGGCAGGTTTGGCCAAGATGATAGGCAGAGGAAAAGGAAGACCAAGGGGGAGAGGGGAGGATTTCACTTCAATGTATTACAAAATATTTAGTCAAAATGCCTCCTTCTTGCCACCTGAACTTTTTAAATATATGTTTTAAGTGAGAAATGTCCAGGTAAGCTTATGTTATTAGAAACTTGAGTATTTTACCTAATAACTTAAAAAAAAAATTTCAATTCTAAGAACACAAGTTTTAAATGTCCTCAAAATACTGAGGCACAATATAAAAAAGCCCTTTAAATTTACTCTTTACACTTAAATATAAGGTGTCCCCAAAAATGTATAAACATACATTTTTTTGATAGCTCAATTGATGTTTCTTTTCAGATTTAACCTGAAATTACCAATTATTCAAAGTGTGTATACATTTTTGGGAGATACCCTGTATTTTAAATATTCTGGACAAGAGATACTGGAAATAAGTTTTTGTCAGAAAATGGAAAGTAACACTTTCTTCTAAAACAGAAATAAATTGGGTAAATTCACATATTAAAAACATCTACATATAAGATTTGAGGTATGAAAAAATGAACCTAAATGCTTTCTCTATTTGGTATTCTTTGACCCTTACCCCCAAATTTTAGAAGATGAGATAAATGGGCGAGAGGAAAAGCATCTAGAGGGTCACAGCAGAAAAAGTAGGGGAATAGCTGCCCAAAGAGGCAGAGGCCCACTATGCCAACTTCACCTCTGTCCTGCATGTCCCCAGCTCATCCAATCAGCACATCAACTCACTTTAACACACATACTTCAGAGTAAATAAAATGGCATTGTTATTCAACCAAAATTACATCTTCAGACAACCTTCTCAGAAGAGCAGTATACTGCTCATATCTGCAGCCTACCTGTAGATTGGAGGTTCTATACCTATTATCTCCACCACCATCCCTAGCAACTGCTATGGGATACTCACAATGTGCCAGCCCTGTGCAAAGTATCCTAAAACTGTGCTTTGTAATCTTTCCCATATTCTAAGAGGGAGGTACTATTATCTCCACATTTTAGGTGAAAAACTGAGTTCAAGAAGGCCTAGACTCTTACTGAGCAACAAACCTTATCATCTGGCTTCTTGAAATTTCTGGTTAAACCATTAAGTTAAAGAGTTGATTTTAATCTCTAGTCTATTATTATACCTGATGAATTTAAAGGTTCTCTATTCTATAAGGACAGCTTCCTTAAGATCAGCCCAAGCACACCCTGCTTTCAATGCTCAGATGAGACTTTCAGGGACTGCAGAAGACATTTTCTCTGTAAAGTCTTTATACTTAAAGTATCTTGCCTTGTGGTACCTTGATAAGACTTCATATGTTGAATCTTTGACACAAGCCAAGTGCATGAAGCATAAATCTACTAATAGCATGTACTCAACACAGGCTAGTTGAAAAATCTGAGAACACAAGAGAGTAGTATCTCTTTTAAGATTTAAATAGGATTTTTCTTAGATGTTTAAATAGTTTATTTTTTAATCATATATTTTTTAATTATCCTAAGAGACCAGAGTACATTTTCTAGACATAAAACTCCATGCCAGATTCCTATGATTTATTATTTAATTTTACCCTTACTTCTGAAAAAATCATTATCAAATGAGTTTGCTTTTTAATCAATGTTTCCCCCAAGTATGTTCCTCACTAAAACGTATTTAAATGAAAAATTCCACGGTAAAATACATTTAAAAAGCACTAGGTAAAACTAAGTTAACTAGATTTCTTAACTGAAGAAAATATATATCCCAGAATCAACAAAATTATTTCATTTTTCTTACAGGTGAAAGAAGAGTCATATTGAAAAATATATCTAGTTGCCTTACATCAAATAGTTCATAGGCAAAACCTAAATCTAAATAAAACTTTTAATTCTATTTCTCATCTCCCAGTAATCTGACACCTGTTACCAAGATCTTGTCAACTTATTTTTTAATACTTTTGTGATAGGGGGAAAACATAACACCTTTATTTTTGAGAACTCTACTTGAATAACCTATTAAATAATGGATGTTTGACAAAGGTTCTCTTTTCCTCAAGAAAAAAAAATCCATACAATTTATTAAGGGTGGTGGCAAGGGGTAGAAATAAATACTTTAAAAGGGAATATAAAAAAATTATACAAGCAGCCTAGGTTCAGCTTGATTTGGTGTTCAACTTGGCAGAGTTAAGGCCATCTGAACACATGTGGGGAGAATTCTTCTTACTTCTGTACAAATATTTCCCAGAACAAAGCCACACTACTGGCAGCCATAGATGAATGGGAAAGTCAAAGATGATGATGCTTTTTCTATTTATTTTGCACACAGGGTCTCATAAACTCAAGTAACTAATATTGCAAGGTTAGGTTATGTAAATATGTTGCTAACTCAGGTTTTACAAAGTTGTAAATGAAAACTAAAGTTCTCCACACCTTTGCTGTTAATTCCATGAAGATTATCTAGTAATGTATGCCCCATGTGTTAATGTGTCCAAAATTTTAAGGATGTTTAAAAGCATATTTGAAAACATAAGTTTTACCAAAACCAAATCCAAAACAATTTTCATTGATTAGAATTCTTTTCCTTTTAAAGCTAGATGCTTTTAAAAGTTCTTAGTACAGAGAGTCAAGTCACAGGCACAACATACAGGCAAAATCTCATTATATCAACCATCAAGGCAACCCAAGTTTTTATGTTCCTGTGAATTTGAGAATGATAATTAGATTACAGGACATATCTAGTGAAAGGGACTCTATAGACAATGCAAAACTGGGAGGAGTGGAAGCTAAGAGCATTCCAGACTAAAAAGTAAGTGGACACACACACCTTCACTCTGGCCCTCTCCTCCATCTTTTTAGTCATTCCCTAGGTTTGGTTTCAATGGATGGTTTGAATGTTTAGGTGGGCTTTTTGTGCCTGCAAGCTGTGAGAGTAACTGAAAGGCAATTGCTGCTTGATAGGGTATAAAGCCAGGAACTAGGTACAACTAAAGTCTCATCACTCTGCTGAGTTCAGCTCTGCTCTCTCCAGCCTTGTCTAAAAGGCAAAAGGTGCATACACAGATACTCTCAGCACAAAGGAAAGAAAGTCTAAAAAAAAATAAATTGTTGTATTGTTTGTAATAATAGAGTGTGAAAAACACTAGTATTCTCAAAAAGCCAATATCTAGGGGAAAAATACCTTTGTTTAATAAAGTGCATCCTTTTATAGGTATTTGCTATATTGCATATTTTTTTTAATGCTAGTGTAAAATAGAACTTGTAAAAGAAATTCTGTAAATGCTTACAACTTCCAAATCAGACATAATGAGAGCTATGGAACTGTGCTTTAAAATAACTGACAGGACATAAAATCATGCACTGTATTAGTTAAGTAGGAAAAAACAACAAAAACAATAGCCTCATGGTGCTATTAAATTAAAAAAACAAACTTTGCATTATGAAAAGAAAAAAAGCTGGCAACATGTGTTAAAAGCATAAATAAAACTTAAATGATCAAGAATAAAACTAGAAAAGCTACCAATGCAAGAAATAGCTCTCACACATGTTTAGGAACATACCCGCCTTCTACAGAACCTATGAGGCGATCCTCCCTTAGCATTGAAGTTTATAAAAAAATAAAAATGAAAAGAGAAAAAATCATCCAAAAACTTTAACTACTCATTTTTCCATTTAACATATTCAATAAAACGTTAAACTTACAATATTTAAAAGAGATGTACTGAAATATCAAACCACCACATTATTCATATTAATATAGTAGAAATATTGAATCTGTGCATTTCTTACTCCTAGGAGATTGGTCAGTGATCAAAATAATCTCAGCAAATAAAAATATTAATATACTACAGAAATACTTTTATATAACTAAAATATTTGTTTTCTGGAAAAATATCTATTATTTTCTTTCATATATTATAATTTCAATGTAAAATTAGAAATACTTTCACCATTCTATGGACATTTGTAAATAGACTATTTCTAATAAAAGACTGGAGAACAAAACAGAAAGTTATTGAATTATTCTAAATTAAAAGTATTCATAAACAAATTAGTTTGATACCTTAAATACATTTTGGACTTTGAAATTACAATATCACAGATACATGACCAAAATCAGTATGGAAATAAGTTATAAGTACATGGAAGATTGATAATAATTAACAGTGTAAGAATAAAGAATGTTGAGTGACTCTTACCCTCTGTTCCAATGCAGACTGAGTCTGTTGTCTTAAAAGAGCTTTAAATGGCCCCCCTTCTTTTCCAGCACTACCACTTCCCATTCCTACAGAACATCAGTACATAAATAACCAAAAAACAACTATAGGAGCAGAAAGATTAACTGCATTCATCTTCATAAATATCATGAGTCAAAATCTGTTAAAACAATCCAAACATTTAAAGTATTTGAGATGGCAACTAAGCACATATTTCACTCTCTTTTACTCTCAAAGTTCATTTAAGAAGCAATATGTCAAAGTTCTACAGATCACAGCTAGTTTTAGACTTAATTTGTTCTAAAAAAAATTATTTTTTAATTAAATTAAGGTATTGAATTTTTGTACAATATTCAATTTTTAAAATTGAGTCTTCTAATAAAAAATAATCACGACAATACCAATTACTTATGCTAACAGTTTAAGAATACTAAAAGAAATGAGAAACATTAAACGTTTGTCTAAAATCAAGTGTAGAAGGGAAAAGCACTAATTGTGTTTACTTAAAATATTCCAAAATTCTCTAAAGAACACGAATTTTTAGGCAATTTTGAAATATAGTCAAATCTATTTTCAGATAAATTCCCATTCCTAAACATTCACGTCAAAACAGTATTAATATCCATAGTTTTCTACTCACTTGCAAAAAAACATAAAATTTTTTAAAAAACTAAAAATCATGAACATATAATAGACACATCACAAATGTATATAGTTATGAATGAAAGAATTTTATTTCCCAAGTTCTTAGATGTATTTTTAAAGGCTTAATTTTAAATTTCTTTCCCTACCTTTTTTTATTCTTTTGATAATACCAAATGACCAACTATGGTCAAGGAATTCTAGAAAGCAGGGGACAGGCGAGAAGCCAGTTCTCTATAAACTAGTCACTTGTTCAATCCCATCCTTTCAAACTTAAGAAACATACAGTCATATTCACTATACTGACTTTTACATTTTTAGCTGTTCTTGGATAAGGAAACACAGGTTAGCATACGTATAGTCTCATTCTGTTCTCTTTTTTTTTAAAAAAAAAAAGGAAATTTATTTTCTTGTAGTAACCTATACGTGATTTTTAGAGACTATACAATACTAAACATAGAAATTAAACTATGATCTTTACATGAAGCATACTGAAAACCATAAAACAAAATGTAATTTGTAGAGATAACTAAAACATCAAAAAAAGCAATGGACAGAAAAAAATTGGATTATGAAAGAATATTACCAAAATGAGACTTAAACTGATTCAAACAGAATAATTTACTAATGTAACCATATGGTTTAGCAACATGATGGTACAGGTCCAATGTGAATAGAGTTGGTATGAAGGGAAAGAAAGTAAAACATCTAAAACAGAAATTCTAGTAATGAGAACCTAATAATAATGCATATCTATGTCCTTAGACATATTACTTTTTAATATATAAAACAACTGGAGTAGAATATTCATAATTATCAAGTAACTGTCAATCATGTGCTCATGATAATTCTGATCACTTAAATCTGTCTGCCAATAAGAAAAATAAGAAGTACATCCTGCATAAAATACCCACTATTTCTTTGTAGTATCAAAAATGATTCACAATAAAGGGATTAAAAAGCTGACGTAATGTGATCCTACCAGAAGCAGCCAGGAACAGCTCTTCACTGAAAGAAACACTTTTCCTCAGAACTGGGCTGACAAGGCTATAATGATGAGGGGGAAGGCTAGAATCCGAGAGGAGACGGGACTTTTTAAGATGAAGGGAACCACAAGAGAGAGAGGGGGAGCTGGGATACAGGAAAATCCTAGGACCCTGTGGGTAAGGTGCTGTGGAGGAAAGTAGCAGAGAAAAAGATGTAGATTCAGAAGATGATCAGAAAATGCAGGATAAGGAAAGCAATGATGAACCAAAACATAACAGTAAAAATGAATTTTAAAATGCATACACAAATTACACTAAGCTTATGAAGTCATTAGCAAGACATCTACCCAACATAATATAAATAGGAGTCATAGTCTAAAACTTAGCAAAACCTTTACAAACTTGGCATTCATTAAAATTTTTAAATCACTAACATAAGATTTTATGCCATTCTAATAACTTTTAGTTGATTCTTTAAAACAGTTAAATTACCTGCCTTCTTTTGCTTAAGAATGTGTAAGATTAAAATGTACCGCATTTTACAATTTTTTAAAGCCAGAAATGTGTTGCCTCAAATAGAAACATTTATTTAAAGTGGTAAAGTACAGCTCTTCAAAGGTTACTAAAAAAAAAAAAAAATCCCTTATGAGTATTTAAACTGAATACCCCATAAAAAATCAAACAGTACCACATTAAGCAATTGCCACTATTAATTTTAAATAAAATATTAAGTTCTTTTTGTCCAGCTTCAAGATGTATGTTAATACTTTTCTTTTTCCTCTAAAATTTTAAATACTCAAATCTGACCATAGTACTATTTGCATTTACAAAGATTTGAGCACCTAAGGGCCAAATACCCTCTCTATATATGATTTAAAGCCTGACTAAAAAAAGTAAAAATGAGCTTGAGTCAGATGTCAAATCAATATCCTAACACTAGCATTCTAAAATTCCATTGTGACTAGTTGAGTACTTGGGAAAAAATATGAAAATAAAATCTTATAAAATGTAAAAAATTAGAACAGAAACAAATCAATATTAATTTTTTTAAAAAGTGACAGCTTTAACTAAAAATGGGGGAAAAAACAACTTTCTCAGTCTAAGATTTATTAACTTCATTCATTTTTGGCTCCCCGGTTTACATATAATAAATCAATAATAATCAGCTTTATCTATTCTCACTATTTCTCAAAAGACTGATTTTAGATATACATAAGTTAAAAGCCAGATAATTATGAAATACATAAGGAATTACAGTTTTAGAAATTTCAGAACAATCATATTTTGCTATTTTAAATCTCCACAGGAATTGGGAATGCTACCCTGGCTGGTGTGGCTCAGTTGGTTGGAGCATGGAACATCATCCTGTGCACCAAAAGCTGGCAGTTTCGATTCCCAGTTAGGGCACATACCTGGGTTGTGGGTTCAATCCCTGGTTGGAGCATGTTCAGGAGGCAGCCAATCGATGTTTCTCACATCGATTTCTTTCTTTCCCTCTCTCACTCTCTCTCCCCCACCCCCTTCGTCTCTCTAAAATGAATTTTAATACAAAGAAAAAAAGAAATGAGAATGCCCCTCAGGAGTATTCAAAGATAATTCAGGGACTCAAGATAAAGTCAAAGGACTAAAACTGGCTAATATTCTATAAATATGCTATGGCCAAAACCAAAATATTTTATTTAGAGGTAGCTTATAAATAAATATAGAAATATATGAGAATACCTCTATTATAAATAAGTTTTTTAAAACTAAAAAGTTAGAGCTAGAAAATAAAATGCAAAAAAGTTTTCATTGAATAATACAACTGATTGCAAACTAGAAAGCTGAGAAGAGTAGGCTGGTTCAGTTAATTTATTACTTGACAATCTTCTTTAGTCTTGGATTTTATGGTAAAATAAAGAAAAAGAAAGATCAAGGAAATAATTTTAAAAATTTAAAGAATATTGAAAAGTGGCCTGGAATACACAAATAAAAGCCAGTGGACAAAGTTTTAAAAATACTTTTAAGAGAATTTATTCTTCAGATACTATCCTAAGTCTTTCTTGTTTTGATTGTCATAAAACCAAGGCCAGAATATCATTCTTTAGTACAAAACAAAAACAAAGAAAACCCCTATTTGAACAGTTCCATTTTATGTCATGAACATGGTTAAGATGCCACATGTCAACACATTATTCCTTTCCAAGAATTAGGTGCTCATATAAATGGCTACATTTATAAAAAAGTAGGTATTAAATCTACAGGTTTGTTTTTTTAATACCCTTTCTTTACTTTGAAAGTAGCACTGGTTCTAGAATTAGATTTCTTTATATTGTTTTCATAAATTTTGGGGCCATTTTATAAATTTCTTCTCTAACAAAAATAAGGTTATTAAAGATAAATTTAAAATAACACAAATAGCCCAGCCAGGCATAGCTCAGCAGTTGAGCGTCAACCTAGCATCCAGGCGATCGGGGTTCGATTCCTGGTCAGGGCACATGCCCGGGTTGTGGGCTCGATTCCCAGTCAGGGCGTGCAAGAGGCAGCTGATCAATGGCTCTCTAATCATTGATGTTTCTACCTCTCTCTCTCTCTCTCTCCCTCCCCCTCCTTTCCTCTCTCTGAAATCAATAAAGATATATTTAAAAAAATAAAATAACACAAATAAGAACTATGCAAAATGTTTTTATTAGTCTGGCATGATAACTGCCAGAAAAAAAATAATATTTACAAAAATTGCAAACTATTAACTTTTAAGTTTTATTTTTTATTTTTCTTGAGAATAATAATTTAATGATTAAATAAGTTAATTCTATTTTATGAAGGAACTAATTTAATTTTTAATCAATTTTTGTCAGAAAACATATTCAGAAAAACTCAGATTAACAAAACACACATAGGAGACAGAAAAATTATAAATTTCATACATTAAGACATATGCAATAAGTAAAGCAAAACTGCTATTTCCTAATCTACAGAATAAGAAAAACCAAACATTTTAAATAACAAAAAGTTAATAGATGTATGTATTCCAAATAACCATTTTAGTTAAGATTTTTTTCATAATAAAATCTTACAAATAAATTCAGAAACAGACAGAAACAATGAATTCAAAATGCTTATACTGCATGAGGAATTCAACTGCAAGCTATTAGTGTTACTTTTTATTCAAATGCTTTATGATGTTATTCCTCTTAATTTAAGCATGAAATGAAAAATACCTACTGCAAAAATAAATCCTGCACTTCATAGCTACACTATTATTAAATCAATAAAATGCAGATCTCTGAGCACGGTAATTTCTGAACTACACAAAATTTTCATATTTTAATTGTAGTAACTGAAAGTGATCACTATTCACATTATCTTTTAACTTAAATGCCAAAAAACAGGAGAAAAGGCTTGGATGGAAAGCTAACAAGAAACAGAAATAAATTTGAAAAAAATAAAATAAATAAAATAAAAGGTGGGTGGAAGCGCCTTACCAGTTTTGGGTGTCAAACTCAAATCTGTGTCAGAAGAAGAGGACTGTCGACTGTAGGACTTGGAAGGTGAAAAGGAATAAGTTTGGTTTTTCAGAGGGGTGGAGGGTCCTGATGAGTGAGTATTGGGGTTGGGATCTTCATTGAAGGGAATCCTGCCAGAAGAAGGTGGAAAAATATTAAGTAATCATGTGCCAAAGGACTTGACAGAAGGCAGCATGATCCAAACACCAAGAAAGTGTTGGGGCAGGGCCAGCAGTCATTTCTTAAGTGTGGAGCTGGGTATGAGGCCAAAGTCAACCAACTGCTGTTTAACCATTCATCATTCTTCAGATAAATAATTATCTGCACTGAAACAGTTAATAAGCCAAGTAAAAAAGCAAAAAAGCATGAAATGACAGACTAAGGAGGGTAAAAAATATTAAAAGGAGAAATAAACAAAACGAATAAATACATGACTGAAAATACTTTCAAATAAACAAAGCTTTTTTAAGTTACCAAAGAAACAATGACTGCAAATGGTGTGTGTAAATATTCACAATTGTTTTTATATTTGCACACACACAGATATCATCAAAAGAAAAATGTTTCCTTATCCTCTAGCATCGAGTGCCACAGCTAAAAACAGCAGAGAGGAAAATGAATGTAGCTACACAGAAACACTGCATTGTGTGCAGAATAGTTGCTTACCTGTTTTCCAAAAGCTCTCTTTCACAGAATAAAACAGACCCTACTATAACAAGCTTTGTACATAAAGAAAATAAGGAAATCCGAAGCTTTGGTAGCTATTTCCTTTAGAATCCAATAATCAATTTTTATTATAACCGAATGTGGTTGTAATGGCAAAAATACATACTGGAGGATTCTCCTAAGAACTCACAGTACACATACACAAGACAGGGTTCTGAGAGGGTCTATGGAAGAGACTTTGGAAACTGGAAGGACACTTTCGCTTCCATGTAGTTAGAGCCCCTGTGGAGGCCAAATACAGGATTTCTTCACTGCAGCTGGACTGTGAGTGAGAAAAGGAGGAAGCCAAGACTTGCGGTACCTGCCTACACTACCTGCCTGCCTGCCCTCTGCAGCCGCTCTGCCTGTGGCCTGCCTTCCCCAGCTCTGGAGTCTGAGCAGTCTCGTACCAGTATAGATGAGAGTGGGAACAGACACAGAGAAGTTCTGAGTAAGTCGTGAGCCAGTAGCAGTGTGAATTGGGCTGTTGTGAGTCGAGCGGCATCCATGGCTTGGAGGATGAACCAGCGGAGACCTGAGGGAATTTGTGGTCAAAGTGGAAGAAAACAAAACAATACATACAACAGATAGCAAAGTTATGTTAAAATAATTTCAAAGGAGCTTTAGTTAGGGGAGAGGAATTATTTTTTTAATCCCTAGCATGCAAAAAACAAATGGAAATTTTAAAAATTAGCTAAATATTCATTCATTCATTAGGATATAGTTATAGTTTTAAAGGATCAGATTAATAAATTAGGACTGTGCATATGAAAAATAGCAGGCAGAATTATCAGTGGAATTCAATTTTAAACAAAGACTAAGATTTGGATTTAAGTTGCTTTAATATGTTTGTTATTATTTTGATCACCTTAGAATTTTAGGGAGAAAACACCCATAAAGTGAAAAGTCTATAAAGTTCTTATATTATCTTTGAAATGGAGATATGAATAACTGCTAACATAATTAATTATATTTTCCATAAAGAAAGTTCAACTAAGAAAACTGTTTCTGTCTAGAATCTCGAGACAAGAGTGCTTAAGAAAAATTACGCATAAAGAAATGACTGAACTGAATGGATATAAGCAGATATAAACACTGCATATTTTCGCACACCAAATATATAGCTTAAACCCAAGTTATACTGGGAACAAAATGAAGCAAAGAAACACTGCTTTTAAAAACACATTAATAAAGCAATGTAAATTATTTTTGTCTCTCTCTCAAACAGAATATTATTTAAACTTAAACAGATTAAACTACATTGTGAATTGAAATTCTATAAGATATTAACTTATATCCTGCAATAGGCCACATCATGCGAATGTATAGGTATATTTAGATCAGATACACACAGGCATATATTCATATACAACATTTCAAATTTTCATCAAGAAATTTGGCTAAAAGGTCATAATTACATTGGATGGGGGGAAAGATATATTGTAGAACTAAGAATCTTCAACTTTATATTAGCAATTATTTCACTATGCAATGCTTTTGCTTATGCAAAATGAGGTGAAAAGAATCCTTGTATACACTCTGAAAAACTATCATATCCCCATTTTTATAGAATTCAAATCAAAAGCAGGCCAAGAGCCCAACTTTTCCTGGCTTCTTTTTTTCTTTTCCATTGCCCAGTGGACATTCCCAACAATTACAATTTGTCAAGGTTCAAACATCGGCAATAATAGTCTACAGACTACTTTCTGAAAATATCACTGATTTTACAACAGGACAAATGTTTCTGTTGCTCTTTTAAATTTAAAATGTGTTAAATATAACTAATAAAAATCAAACATCTCATTGGTGATTTATTTGTATACAAACTGAGTGAGGTTTTATTTTTGTTTTTTCTCTCTCTTTTGAAGAGGCTAATGAAGTTTAAAACTCTAAGAATCAGTGCCATACAGAGAAGGAACTATGGCTAAAATCTCTTAGCACTTTTTCCCCCTAAAGTAGAGAAGCAATAAATCATATTTAAATGCACTTTCTACCATCAAGATAATTCAGCTAGGAAACACCAAAAAGATTTATATTGTGCTTTACATCAAACATCTAAAAGGAAAAAAAAAAAAAAGAACTGATGGAGTAGAACACACCATTAATAAAAGTAAAATAAAATGAATAAAATAAAATAAAATGAACATTGCAAAATGTTCAAATTATGACATCACATTAAAATCCGAATATACTGGAGCTTCATAATGTATTCTTGGAGTTCTAATTCTTATCAGTCTCCTTGCATGAAAGGCTGCCTTACAACAACACCCTACTGGCACTTCAAATATCAAATCCATTCAGGCAGGAACATAATCCAAACTACCTTTTATCAAATTCCTGTCTAGAATCAATAATGTTATAATTAAATACCAGAATAATTATAATCAACTGACTCATAAAACAACTTTAAGCTAGCACTCAAACTGATTCATTATAAAAAATACAGAGAAGCTAGTTGAAATAAAGCAGCCTGAGTATTAAGGTTTTGTGTGTGTTGTTGTTTTTAAATAACATGACTCGGGTAGCAAGATGTCTTTCAGAAAAATCTTAATGAAGCAACTTAAAATTCTTCATAGTGTGAATATTTGACAATTTAAGGCAAATGGTTACAACAAAGTTAGAAAAGGAGAAAATGTACACAATCCTAGCAGATTTGCATCACTGAAACACTTCCGGAATGCAGACAAAAGGTATTCCCCTACTACCCCATGTATCATTCTAAGACACCAACAGGTAATATGGCTTCCTCTTTCCGTTAAGTAATTTAGTGACAAGAGGAAAACTTCAGACATCACAGCTGCAAAAGCCAGACCCCTGAGGCAGTGTCAATAAAGATGAAGGGTGGTAGGAGGAGGAGGGACCCAGGTCCTTACTTAAATTTGCTATGGAAAGAGAGGAAAAAAATCTGAATTCCCCCCAAAATCTACCCTTGCAATCTGACTTTACTTGTAGCAGCAGGCGGTTGATATATTTTTAAGACACATTGTAAGTGGAATATAAAGCAAATTCACTCTTCCAATTTACTGAAAACAGTTATTTCACTTGGAAAGTATTTCCAAGTAAAATTAAGCAATATACGTGTTCCCTCTTGTGACTAAAATTTAATCCAAATAATTTAAGGCCAGCAGAAAGGAAATAATTAAACAAAAAGAATAAACTTAAAGAGGAAAATCTTTTTTAAAAAGATTGTTTTTAAAAAAAGATTGTAATTGTTTTCTAGTCAACCTCTCTTGACTACTGCTGAACTAGAAAACATTTCAGGTTTTCTGAGTGTAGAATTCTGACTCACTGATGATAAAGGAAAGGGGTCAGCAAACTACAGGCCAAATCCATCCTGCCATCTGTTTTGTGAGGAAGTAACTTTTATTGGAACACAACCACACTCGTTAATTTGCATACTGCTGATGGCTGCTTTCACAGGACAGCAGCAGAGTTGAGAAGCTACTGTTGGCAAAGAATAAATTATTTACCTGTATGTTCTGGTTATTTACAAAAAAGTTTGTTGATCCTTGATCTAGAAGAATCTCTAGACCAGTGATTCTCACTGGAAGTACTACTGGCATTTAGGACGGAAAAAGTTTTCACAGTACAGAGCTGTCCCTTGCTGTGAAGGAGAGTCAGCATTTCTAGTCTCCAGCAGGATTGGTCTCCCTCATCCCATCATTATAATAGAAAGTTTGTTTCAAACATTTCCTTTTGACAGCACCAGCACCACTATGTTGAACAATGACACCACCCAACAAAAGTATTTTCTTGGATCACACATAGTTTTTAAAAAATGTGCGAGCCTAAACTCCTTTAGATCAGGATCAACAAACTCCTTTTTTCAGTAAATGAAGACAGAAACTATATAGCCAGTGCCTGAAATATTTAGTATCTGGCCTTTTATAAAAAAAGTTTGCCAACATCTGCTTTATATGGTACCCGGTATTACCTATTTATTATGCCCAATTATTTATATAAACTGTTTGGCCTCTATAGACATTCAAGTTTGAGACCCCTGCACAAGTCAATCTTTCCTGCTTTCTATATGTTGCTAATTATTATGCCCAATTATTTATATAAACTGTTTGGCCTCTATAGACATTCAAGTTTGAGACCCCTGTACAAGTCAATCTTCCCTGCTTTCTATATGTTGCTGATAATAAGCATAATTGAATGATCAGGTATAGGGTTTTAAGCATGCTCCAGAGAATAAGTAAAATTCCATGCAATGCATGAATATTCATTTTATGCTTTAGATGTACAGTGTTTAAAGATCTGGATAAGCTTATATTACTTTATTTGAATTTCATATTAAGACTATAAATAAAATGTTAGGAATATCTAAATAGTTTTAAGTTTCAAATGTTGACAGTCATCTCTGATAAGAAAAATTATCTTAGGAAAAAATGTACGTTGAACACTACTAAAATGTTTCAAGTCAAATGAACATGTATGGGTAAAATAAAAAGTTCCTTAAGAACAATTCATTGATTCATACTTACTCCTTCATTTCTTTGGATGGGGAATTGCATGCAGGAAGGAATGCTGCTGGGCTACTTAATTTATCCAGTGTACACGCTGTTCCTATGGCTCGTACCACTAAACCAGATTCGCCTTCCAGGTCAAAACACTGCAAGTACCCAACAACCGCATTTCCTCTCATTTCAAGCACTTTCAAGCCAATCTTCCTCTGCAGTTCACCTACAAAAAAGGAAGGAAACTCATTCTGCTTTATATCTCCACATTCTATGAAATAAAACTGGATATGGTAGTAATAAAAGAATCTAAAAAATCATGGATTTTTATAACTTAAAGTGAACCAACTTTCAGGGTGGCAAGATATTATTAACTACATTTTACAGATGTGGCAGGTAGCATTCATTTACCAAATAATTTTTGGTTGTGTGCTATGTGCCTGGCATTCCTCCTTTCTTCTAAGTGCTAGATATATAAGCTAGAAAGGTAAAGCCTCAAATCTAGTGAAGTTTATATAATGTGAGAGAAACAGACAAAAAACAAATATAAACATTAAATATAATATATAGAATACATAGCATATAATGTAATCAAATATAATTATAATTTAGGCATTATATATTATTATATATCGTAAAATACAAATATGGAGAATATACAAATATAACTTAATTAAATGTATTATTTAATGTATTAAACATTAAATATGAATATAACGTATTCATTATTATTTATAAATATTAATTAAATATAATTAATTTAATAGCAATATAAGTATAAATATATTTATAAGTACTTTTTTTTAATATACTTTTATCAATTTCAGAGAGAGGAAGGGAGAGGGAGAGAGCGAGAAATATCGATGAGAGAGTCATTGATCAGCTGCCTCTCACATGCCCCCCACTGGGGATCAAGGCCACAACCTGGGCATGTGCTCTGACTGGGAATCGAACCACGATCTCCTGGATCCTAGGTCGATGTTCAACCGCTAAACCACGCCCAGCAGGGCATAAATATATTTTAAGTATAATTTAAAAGTATATAAACGTAAATATACTTATAAATAATATAAGTTTAATATAATTAAATAGTAATATAGGTATAAGTATATATTTAAAATACATAAATTTATTAAATGTAAATATTTATACTTATTTGTCTAGTAAATATGTACGAATGTGTCTGTGCATATAGACACTCACATATATACACATATAAACATAAATTTTAGATGATAAATAAGTTCTTCAAAGAAAAATAAGAAAAGTAATTGGGTAAAAGTGGCAGGGAGAGATAGAAGGAGATATAAGTTGTCAGAGAAGGGCTATGAAAAGGCAACATTTGAAAAGAAAGCATGAGACAGGTTACCTAAATCTGATTATAAATAAATGCTGAGAGAAAAAACTAGAACCCAGTTTCCTATCTCCTTGCGCAGACACTTTCCACTATACTACTTCATGAGCACAATTTCCTTTTACTGCCTAGTTAAGAAGGAATTATAAGCTTCTGATTAGATTTCTCCTTATTATAAGATGGAAATTTATGTGTTCAGGAGGATAGGGCCAGGGGTAAGGAATCAGTTGTTTATAATTCACAGTCTTCATTGTAAAATTTGAGGTAGCATATCAAAAGAAAGTAAAAAATTTGGGAATATTAAGTCAATCAGTAATGAAGTCTTTAAAAAAAAATACCTGACATTAAAGAAATGAGTCTCTGTCTGGCCTCATTTGATGCTCGTGGTGTGCGAATTCGATCAATCCATTGATATTCTGGGTCTTCATTGACCACAAGTTCTTCTACAAATCCATGAATTATTACAGCTCTATAGCACTTTGGAATAGATGTTGCTGTTAAAAGAAACTGTCTATTATGCTTCTATTTATCACAAGGTTAAATCAATTTTTTAAAAAAATGTACAACTAAGTTCTTACCTTTTGGATGTATAGTACAAGAAGATCTTTTACTGTGACAATCTACATGTAATTATAATAATACTTCCAAGCAAACAGTCTTACAAATTATTCTTACAAATAATCATTTTCTTTCATGAGACATCTCATCTTTCCCATGTAAGCATAATGAATATACACTGTACTTTTATAATTTAGAAAACAGGTAAGACTTCTTAAATAACATTCAATACAAACCGCAAAAAATCAAAGTTCACTAGCTGATTATTATCTAAATAGGTGACAAGTAGATAATGCATACAAAAAGCTCTATTTATTCAAAGCCCTATGAAAAAGTTCTGTACGCCAGCCTCAAAAATCAAACCTTTCTGACATAATGAGGAGTGATACAGCTCTGCAGTTTCTAATGCATGGCCATATGGCCAATGGTTCAATAGTCACTCTGCTTAACAGACTCATTTAAGATGTAAAACACCAAATGTCATTGGATTTAACTAAGATCTGATCAGATTCAAAAAAAGAACCTGAGAACATCTAAACCAAACTAGTTTCTTAAAACAGACATTCGTGCCTTGAAGCTAACTCAACTACTTAGGATTTTTCATCCCTATTAATCCAAAATGGCTATGAATTGCCCAGATCTGGCCTATTCTGACCCATACTGCATGGCATTCATGCATGGCTCCATACCTGTAGAAGCCTATGTAATTTTGGATAGCACCACAGTGCTCTACTCCTATCTTTCAGTGTCCTCTTCTAGCATAAAATACCACTGGATTTTTTTTCTTTTTGACAGTTATACAAAGTTTAATAAGTCATATCTTTTACACATTTGACAAAAGTCACTTGTTCTAACTTGTGAAAAAATTTGAATGCCAACAAAATACTAACCTCTGTGAAAGTAATAAAACAAATATGTGACATTTTTAACCTTGTTTTTCATAGATGTTGACTTACTGGTACAAGAGTAAAACCTGCATTAGGTGAGTGGCCACAAGCTTCTCCATAAGTTGGTGTCTAATAATTATGGCTTTTAAGGCCACTGGAGACCTCTGCAAGATACATACATCCATCTACCACAAAAGGCTCCACATCTGTATTGTTTAGTTTTAGTTGGCCCATTTGAATGAAGTCTGAACATGCTACACATGTAGCCTCATTAAATTTGTTTCCGCAAATGTAGATATTAGAGAGTGTGGGATTTGTTCTCTTTGACTAAGAAAGTGCACCAAGTCCTTCTCCCTCTATGTTGTTGCTGACTAATGACAACCAGGGGACATCAAAGTAGCATAGGCTACTCTTCAGATACAGTGGCTCACCTGTCTTATAAGCCAATTTTTTATATTCTTACACATATGTAATTCAATAAGGCAGGGATTTTTTTTTTTGGTAGAGTCTTAAACCTGTTCACCACAGGTTAGTTTAGGTTTATTCCCTTCATTGTTTGGTTCTGAGTTAGGGCTGTAGCAAATGTGATCACACTTTACCTTCTCAAATGAAGGCACACAGATCTAATTTCTCTAAGGATAAATTAATTTGTAGCATTGCAGCAAAAACATATTCTACCTTTGTTTTCAACCTTGTTTCCAGTCATTCTTAGGTATCCGATAATTTTATTTTTACACAGTGCTTTAACAATCAATTCTCTACCTTCGGGCTCAATACCGTGAAACATAAGGTTTAAAAGTAAATGAGGTTGCCCTGGCCAGTGTTGCTCAGTTGGTTGGGCATCATCCTGTGCACCAAAAGGTTGCTGATTTGATTCCTGGTCAGGGCACATTCCTGGGCTGTGGATCTGATCCCCAGGAAGGGGCTATAGGAAGCAGCCAATCGATGTTTCTCTCTCTCTCCCTCTTTCCCTTATCTCTCTAAAAATAAAAAATATATATATTTTTTTAAAGTAAATGAGGTTAAAATGTTTCATTAATATGTTGATTCTTTAAAATTCTGGGAAAAATCCAAAGACCTTCACCTAGTACGCTTTCTATTGGCATTAAGTGGCTGTTACCAGCAAGGTTTTTTGTTGTTGTTTTTTCCATTGTTTTCAGAGAGAGTGGAAGGGGGGAAGAGAGAGAAAGATAGAAACATTGATGTGAGAGACACATCCATTGGCTGCCTCCCACTTGCGCACTGACCGAGGCCCAGCATTGAGCCTGCAACGAAGGTACATGCCCTTGGCTGAAATCAAACCTGGGACCCTTCAGTCTGCGGGCCAACACTCTAACCACTGAGCAAACCCAGCTAGGGCACCAGCAATGTTTAATGTTATTCCTTCTAATCATGCTCACAGGCCGGGGTAAAGACTGAAGTAGCAGCTGGAGAAGGGGCTAGAGGTGGGGCAGGCTGGGTATAGCCTCCCTTTGGGCAACGGGCATTGTCATTACGACCACGTGCACACATGTACACAACTGAATTTTTCTAATAAAAATTTTCATGAACTTGTAAAAAAGTAGATATCATTTACTTTAAAATCAGATAAGTAGTCCCCAAAGCTACAGCAATTATTTCTGAAAAATTGACAATTTTCTCTTTGGCATTAAAGCCAAAGTATAATAGATTTTCCATTAGCCTTCTACAATATTAATTTGATTTCCCATATTTATCAATTATTAAACTTCCTGTTAAAGGAGTAATAAAATGTATTTACTTACTGCAAAAGAATTTGACTCCACATGATGACTGCCTAAATCGATTTAAATCATTGAAGAGGTCTACTTTGACAACTACATTGATTTCCCCACGAATACCTATAATTTCAAAAGAAAAATCAAATTTCTACTTTAAAAAAAATAAAGAATAATTAAATAATCAAGCAACACCAATTAACGATTTTAAAATAATGTATCAATCATAACAGCAATGCTAACTTTGTTTCCTAATTTTCATTTTAAGTAGTTTCTTTATTACATTTTCTGAAGAACATGTATACATTAAAGAATGAATAATATTCATTTTTACCACAAGCCTCCACTTATTTGAACCAATCTAACTGGAAAGGAGTACCATTTAAATTGACGATGATAACATTTACTGAGCACTGATAATGTTCTAAATGCTTTACAAGCAGTATCTCATAGTGCTTACACCAAACTAGTAAGGTAATTTCTGTAGTATTAGTTATTCCCACTTTACAGAGGAAAAAACTACAGTTTAATAAAAGTTCAATAATTTGTATAATGTCAATAGTTAGTAAGTGGTGAAGCCAGGATTAAAATTCCAGAGTAAATGCTCTTAACAACTAATGCAAAACTCTGATTTAACACAAAAGAACTCTTATTCTTTTCAATGAATATACAGTAATAAGTTACAATAAGCTAACTAAGAAATTCCAAGCTAAAGGGTTTTTAGAAGATGCCCTAACAAATAAAAATGACCCAGCCCCTATCTCTATAAACATTTATTAAATATTTTTATTTGACTGTCCTGACTTCCTGTCAAATTCATACTTATGGAGGAGCCCTTCTAAGAAGAGTGGCTTGTTCATTTACCCACTGAAATAAAAGGTTATATTCCTAACAAAGGGTTCATGTAACATTTTAAATCAACTATAAGCAATCTTTAATATAATGTTTAGAAAATTCATTCATTCATTCATATAGTTACTGCATTTAATGCAAGCCCAGGTTAATTCCCCAGTGGCTTTTTTTATTGGTAATATTACATAAGACTGGATTTTCTTTTCTGAGTACGAAAATTATACACACAAGGTGGGGCAAAAGGAGATGTACAGTTGTTCGTATGGAAAATAATACTATAATTAATAAATAATAATACAAGAATGAACTCAAGTGTTTCACATACTCACCACTGTAAACCTACTTCTGCCCCACCCTGCATACATTGTAAAAAGTATGGGAAAAAGCAAAAGAAGACAAAGAGGAAAAACAGGATTATAGTCCAGAAATAAAACTATCCAAGGGTAAACATTTTATCATGTATTCTGACACTTTAGCCAAAAGCATTACATACATGCAATTCTCTTGTTTCTAAACAAATTTGGGATCATCCTATAATGTTTTATAATCTGGATTTTGCAATTCATAATACATCATGCCACTGTATTATGAAAACATGCTTTTAGTTCTGGCTATGTAACTTATGGTCTATATATGCTCTAAATTATTTAAGTAAATCCTATTTTCCAACTTATTTTTTACCAATTTATACATCAGGAAATGATAACAGAATATAAGTAACATCAAAATAAATATAGGTTGTCCCCCCCCAAAATGTAGCCACACTTAACAGCTGATAGTTCAATTGATGTTTCTTTCTTTTCAGATTTAACACATTGGAATTAATAATTATTTGAAGTGTGTATACATTTTGGGGGAACACCCTATATACATAAATCTCAGCAAACATTTTCTTATAATAAATGACTATCAATGGAATTGCTGGGTCAAAAATGTAAAATAGGCAAAAAGATGCAAGACTATAGAGAGAAACATCTGCCAGTTCCTTTTGGGTTCATTTAGGCTAGCAGTTCTCAAACTTTTTGATCTCAAGACCCCTTTCAATCTTAAAAATTATTGAGGACCTCAAAGAGTTTTTGTATATGTGATTCATATCTATCAATATTTACCATATTATAAATTAAAATTGAAAATTGTTAAAAATATTTGCTTATTACTTCATTTCAAGTATAATGAATCTATGTTAATATAAACAATGTTTTTTATTAAAATAACTATATTTGGGGGGAAATGAGAGTGGTACTGTGTTACATTTTTGCAAATCTCTAAAATGTCCAGTTTAATGGAATACAGTTTGAAAGTATGTTTTGGGAACAGAGTACAAATATAAGATGATTTTAAATAATGCACCTACTTACTATTGTACAAATTTAACTCAGAAAATTATTTCAAATTATTTTCAGAAAAGAAACAATTCTACCAAAAATACTTTACTACTGAGTCTAATAAGACACCATTTAAAGATATATATATATTTTAAAACCACCAAGTGCAGATAATAGTCTTTAAAGATAAATTTAAAAGATTTATTTTCTTAAAGTATACTCCTTACCATGTATAGTATCATAAATTGGAAACCATCCTGAGATGACTGTTGCAGCTTCACTGTAGAGTAAAGGATCAATATCAATGTACACTTTACCAATGGCATCATTTGCACTATAAGTGTCGTGGTCAAGAACTGTGATCTGTAGAGGTTCATCTTGTAAATCTTCATCATCCACCTAAAAGTATACCTTAAAATTAAATCTTACAATTTAAAAATCTTCATTACTGTAACTGTATACATATAGCAAATGTAAGATTACTTATTTCGGGGGGGGGGGATCCAATTAATATACAAACAAAAAGTTGTAACTCCATTTTCTACACAAGATGCCAAGTTTCGGGGAGGGGGAAATTACAGTTTACCTCAAGCACAAAGTTAGAATAATTAACACACACAAAAAGTTGTAATTCCTTTTCTACATATTATCCTGTGTTCTACTACTCCACCAATGGTATACAGCAAAAATGCTTTAGGAATGTCCTAACAGTGTCCATATATTATCTACAGAGTAAAGACGCTAATAAGTACAATGACACCACAATTCCTAAGGACAATTTCAGAGAAAACTGTAAGCAAAACTAACTTTATTTGTAAGGAAAACAATTTAAGTTCATGAAATAAATGTCTACCCTCTCTCCTTCTTTTGCTTAGTCATTGTCAAGTACTTATCGTGTGCCAAGCACTGTGCCAGAGAGGGACTACAATGGAGAGTGCAATGGACTGAATGCTTGTGTCCCCCAAAATACAATGTTGACGCGCCCTGATAACTAATGTATGGTATTGGTAAATGGAGACCTTTGGGAGGTAATTAGGTCATGGGGATAAGGCCCTGATGAATGAGATTAGGATCCTCATTAGTAATGACAGGGAGAGATGATCTCTTGCCTCACCATGTAAGGACATGAGAAAATGGACATCTACAAGCCAGAAACCGGGTCCTCACCAGAACCCAACCATGATGATACACTGATCTCAGACTTCCCAGCATCCAGAACTGTAAGAAGTAAAATGCTATTGTTTAAGCCACCCCAGCTGCGAGATTCTGTTACAGCAGCCCAAACTAAGACAGAGAACATAGGAGAAAAAAAAATTCTCCCTCATGAAAGCCACATTCCCAATTTTGGGGGCCATCCTCTAATTTGCCAGTAATCCTCATCAAATATCGTGGCTAGATGCAACACAATATTATAGACAGTAATAAGACTAGGACAGAATACAAAAGGGTTATTTCGTGTAACTAAAACACTACTTTTAAACTGCAGTCTCTGAATGGTGGTTGTTACATCAGATGTACCACACTGTCAGTGAAGACCAAGTTTGCGGTGAACTAAAACCTCTGCACCTCCTTATATATGCTTCGGTCAAGTGGTATCTCTGCAATCCTAGTCCTTTGGTCAAATTTTTTAAACTTAATTATGAAACATTATGCCTTTTCTCATCCCCCGTTTAACTTCTCTTTGATTTTAGACTAACAATCTAGCTTCTGAAGATTATTATAAGAATTAAAGTACATGGCTTGATGATTTGTTTTTAAAAAGGAGTGTTTTGCCTGGCCGGGCTTGGCTCAACGGTTGAGCATCGATCTAGGATCCAGGAGATCGGGGTTCGATTCCCGGTCAGGGCATGTGCCTAGGTTGCGGGCTCCATCCCCAGTCGGGGGCATGCAGGAGGCAGCCGATCAATGACTCTTTCATCACTGATGTTTCTATCTCTCTCTTTCCCTCTCCCTTCCTCTCTCTGAAATCAACAAAGATATATTTTTAAAAAAAGGGGGGGGGAGGTGTTTCTCTCTAAGACAGACATAATTAAAATTTTGTGGATAAATTGCATAATATTTTGAATTTGCCTTAAAATACTCCTGCAACCCCTCACCCCCAAAATGGGGTGTTTAATAACAGGTAAAACAAGAATAGCAGAATATAGATAACTTTGGTAAGTAAAGGTAAAGGTAGGTGACGGATACGTAGCTCAGTATACTAATCTGTCTACTTCTGTGCATATTTGAAAATTTCCATTAATGAAATGTTAAAATAAAGTGGTCATTTTGCATTCTAATCCATACTGAATCATCTGTCATCAATGGAATTTTCTCTACCACTACTGCATTATCTATACATTTAACAACAGGAAAGAATCATAAACTAAGCCATTAACGATTCCTCCAAAGACGTTCCCCCAATTTCTAACTACATTAATACCATTTTTTGTGTGTAGGCTCACTCACCTATGAGTACTATTATCTTATCTTATAGGACACTGAGATATCCCTTTCCAGACATTACAGGACTCTATACTAACTGACTAGAAATAATTTGTGACATATACATAGATAGCTAATAATGTAAAAAATCTGAATAGAGAAGTTCAGGAATTAGTTTTCATTAATTAAGAGTTTCTCGCCCAGCCGGGCGTGGCTCAGCGGTTGAACGTCGACCTAGGATCCAGGAGATCGGGGTTCGATTCCCGGTCAGGGCACATGCCCGGGTTGTGGGCTCGATCCTCAGTCAGGGGCGTGCGGGAGGAGTCGATCAATGACTCTCTCATCATTGATGTTTCTATCTCTCTCTCTCCCTCTCCTTTCCTCTCTCTGAAATCAATAAAGATATTTTTTTTTTTTTAAAAGTTTCTCAGAAATGTTTTAAGTGTTTAAAAATTTTAGCTGCACAGAAAAATACCCAGCCAAAAGACTACCTATCTAGCCTCCTTTGCAACTAATGAGATATATGCCTAAGTCATCATATGGAGCTAGATAGGGTGGGTTCACGATAGTGTACTTTATAAAATATTTGGTCTTCATCCACAATTCCTGGCTCATGGCTGCCAAAACCCTTGCAATTTCCTAAGTGTTGAGAGTGATAAAAGTGCTATGTGAATGAGGTGACTTTTGGACCCCACTCAAGAGTGGGAGGCTGGTTGAAATTATACCGCAAATATCACTTTAGACATACTAAGATGGCTTATGTTAAAACAAAACAAACCAAAAAAAAACAAGAAAAAACAGAAAATAACAAGTGTTTACAAGGATATGAAAAAATTGGAACTCTCATACATGCTGGTGGGAATGTAAAGTGGACAGCCAATGTGAAAAACAGTTTGGCAATTCCTCAAAAAGCTAAACATGGAATTTGCCATATGACCCAGCCATTCCATTCCTAGGTGTATATTCAAAAGAACTTAAAATAGGGACTCAAAGAGATACCTGTACACCAATGCTCACTGCAGCATTATTCATAATAGCCAAAAGGCAGAAATGACCCCAGTGTCCAGTCCATGAACAGATAAATGGGATTAGCAAAATGTGGTATATACATACAAAAAAATAAAAGAAATATTATTTGGACACAGAAATGAATAAAATTCTAATAGGTGCTACAACATGGATGAAACTGAAAATATATGCTAAGTGAAATAAGCCAGACACAAAGGGCAAATACTTATGATTCCACTTACATGAAATGTCTAACATAAGCAAATTCAAAGAGACAGAAAGTAGATTAGAAGTTACCAGGGGCTAGGGAGAGGATCGGATGGAGAGTTATTGCTAAGTGAATAGTTTTTCTGTGCAATAATGAAAAATTTTGGAAACAGTGGTGATGGTTGTACAACACTGTGAATGTAGTTAATGCTACTGAACTGTAGACTTAAAAATGATTAAAATGGCAGTATTTATGATATATATTTTTACTGTAATTTAACAAATTTTTAAAAATCTGTACATTGTTCTTAAGTGATTTATGATATATGCTAAAATTCAGAGAAAATTACTATATAATATCTATTTAATCTGGGTTCTCCTAGTCATATATTTATATTTTCTTAATTGTAACATAATTTTTTAAAAAATCAATATTCCTAAGAAGTATTTTTATGGTATAGGAAAACTATGCCTGAAATAAAAGGTATTCTTATCATTCCTAGGGAAAGTGTCATCTCAAAAAAAACACTAAAAATGCTGACATTTAAAAACTTACCTCAAATTTAAACCATTCCGAGTTCCACTGAGGGTTGAGGGACTTGAGATACACATCTGTTTTAAAGGTGGTATTACCAAATTTTACCTAAAAACAAATAAAAAAATAATCAAATACAGATGTCAAATATGTGAATACAAATAAAATTTAATGTGAGCCAACAAGTGAGAGGATTAACGTTAGAGAGGAAAACAGACAAATATCCCCTGAGCCAAAAAGAAGAAAGTATGGATGGTTCCCAGTAACATTATAGGCCACACCAGGTACAAGGGATTACCCACTGTTCTGCTTGACTAACTCTACAAGAAAATTAAAACACAGACCATTATGTTAGTATGGAGAAAGGAATCCATATGCCCTTCACTACACAGGGGCTCAGACAAAAGAAAGTTTTAAGGGTGGATAAGCCAAAATAAAGTCAGAAGGCAAAAGGCCAGCTTCCACCTTCCAGAACTACAGCCCATATTATAAGAACTCAGTTACATATCCTTGTTGTATTTTCTAACTTCCCCATACATGCTTTTAAAAGTCTTATGTGTGCACACAAAGGGATAGACAATAAACTATGATCATTAAGGGTTTTATGTTCTTATCTTTAGGGACAATGGAAGGGGTTGGATGGAAAGACTACCCTATTTCATAGCACTCTTGGCAAACACTAAATCACAAAGGTCCAAAAATAAGTAAATAAGGAAACAAAAGGTGGTAGAAAGCAGGCTAAATCCTTGTGACTTGCTTCCAGCTAAGAATGGAGATTGTGAAACTCAGATGACATAGAAAACAGTGAGGAAGCTTAGGAGCAAAACAGCTAGGAACCTACTTCCTAGATTGCCTCTCCTTTCCTGAATTAATCTCTTCAACTCTTCCCTAAGTCTATCAGTTATCACCATAAACCTCAGAATTCACTAAAGATCATCCCTTTTATCACAATAACCAGCACAGAGCTTTGCACACTGAGGGTACTTAGGAAATGCTGGTTCAATCAGATAATCTATAAAATCTCCTTTCCTTTTTTACCTACAATCCTACTTTTGGTATTTAATACTTATAGATATTAATGTTTAATCAGTCCAGGAAATTTTCTAAAAGCAAAATATCCAAAACTATTTTTATCTTCTGTATATTTTTCCAGTTATTTATATCATTCTATTGGAATTATCACGAATGACAGCAACCACGTGATACCTAGGTAGCTTCATTAGAGGGTAAAAAAGGTTTAAAACAGTACATAAAAATAATAACACCTTGCATGAAAGGTATTTGATAGAATCAAGGATAAATAAGAAACTGAGTAAAAGTATTTACCAAATACATCACAAAAAGCTAATTAACTCAATTTTTAATGAGTTCTTACAAACCAATAAGAAAAAGATCAACAAACCAACAGAAAAATGGAAAAGGGACATGAACAGGTAATTCAAAGAAATGGAAAAATAGATGTTATAAATATGTCAAGAGATGATCAATGAGTGCAAATTAGAACAATCTCTATGGAATACAGTTTGACCACATATATCAAAATGCTGCCCTCGCCAGTTTGGCTCAGTGGTTAGAGCGCTGGCCCGAGGACTGAAGGGTCCTGGGTTTGATTCCAGCCAAGGGCATGTACCTCAGTTGCAGGCTCAATCCCGGCCCCGGTTGGGGCATGTGCGGGAGGCAACCAGTCAATGTGTCTCTCTCACATCAATGTTTCTGTTTCCCTCTCTCTATCTCTCTCTCCCTCCTTCCCTCCCTCCCCTTCCATTCTCTCTGAAAATCAATGGAAAAAATATCCTCGGGCAAGGATTAAAAAAAAAAAAAAATTCATAATACTTATATCCTTTAAGTTCAGATGTACAATGGACTTACAATGCATATAAGCAGCATTATAGTAGCAAAAGATTGGAAACAACCTAGATGTCCATCAGTTTGGAACTGGTTAAATTAAATATGGTAAAGTCACACAAGGCAGTCCTAAAGAGAAGAATGAAGCAGTTCTCCAAGCACTGGTATGGAACAATGTCCAAGATATAACTTTCTATTGCAGAACAGTGTATGTGGCATAATTTGCATAGAGAAATATGACAAAATGTTACAAGACATATGACATTTGCCTTCATATGCACAGATTATTTCTAGAAGAATATACAAGAAATGTTAATAGTGGCCACTGCAAAGAACAGAACAGACCACTTAGTTAAAGGAAAGGCGATGAGAGGCTGACTCATTTTATACATTTTGGATTTTGAACCATACATATATATTACCTATTTTTAAAATGCATTATTTTAAAATTAAAAATTAAATTAAAATTAAATCTAAATGACAAAACATTTATTTTTATTTGAATTATAGAATTCTGGATTCACTTGCAGGATTTTATCCTAAAGAAGCACTTTTACATAAGGCCTCCTCCCCTAAAAATATACAAAAAACTAAATAGTCATTCAACAGCAAAGTGACTAAATAAATAACTAAAGAATCCTACTAAAGGACAGAGATGATTATTCATTCTGTCATGGGAAAATGTCAATGACGTAATAACTGAACAGGACACATAGTAGAATATGCAGCTGACAGCAATTATCTCTGAAGAAGGGACTGACAGGGTGTAGGCAATATAGTACAGTAGGGTAACAAAGAAGTAAGTTTTCAAGTTTTAATTCTGAGTGTTCAAATCTTTTGTAATGGGAGCTGTTTGAATATTTCTTGTGTCATTTTTTAAAAATTTAAATCACAAATGTTGAAGATAAGAAACTTAATGGGGGAAAAACAACCCAATTAAGAAATGGGCAAAGGACCAGAATAGACACTTCTCCAAAGAGGACATTCAGATGGCAAAGAGACATTGGAAAAAATGCTCAATGTCACTAATCATCAGGCAGATGCAAATTAAAACCACAATAAGATATCACCTCATGCTTGTCAGAATGGCTACCATCAATAAATTAACAAACAACAAGTGCTGGTGATGATGGGGAGAAAAGGGAACCCTCATGCACTGTTGGTAGGAATGCAGACTGGTGCAATCACTGTGGAAAGCACTATGGAGCTTCTTCAAAAAGTTAAAAAATGGAAATGCCTTTTGACCCAGAGATCCCACTTCTGGGAATATATTGAAAGAATCCTAAAATACCAATTTGAAAGGATATATGCACCCCTACATTTATAGCAGTGCTATTTACAATAGCAAACATCTGGAAACAACCCAAGTGACCACCAGTAGATACGTAGATAAAAAAGTTGCGGTATATTTACACAATGGAATACTACTTGGCCATAAAAAAGAAGAAAATCGTACCTTTTGTGACAGCATGGATGAACCTGGAAATTACCATGCTAAGTAAAATAAGCCAGTTAGAGAAAGAGAAATACCATATGATCTAACTTACATGTGGAATCTAATGAACAAAATAAACTGACAAACAAAACAGAAACAAAGGCATGGATACATGGAAAAGACTGACAACTGTCAGAGGGGAGGTGGGGTAGGGGGCTGGATGAAAGAAGGTGAAGGGATTAAGCCAAAGAATATATATACACATATACATATATATACATATACATATGTATATACACACACATATATATATATCACATAGACACAGGCAACAGTGTGGGGATAGCCAGAGGAAAAGAGAGGGTGGGGGTAGGTAGGTGGAAATGGGCAAAGGGGGATAAATGGGGAGGGAAAGAGACTTTGTTTTGGGCCATTGACCTATAATGCACTGTGCAGATGATGTTGAGTTATACACTTGAAATGTGTATGGTTTTGTAAACCAATGTCACCCCAATAAATTCAATTTTAAAAAAAGACATGATGCAGGAAAAGAAACCTAGGAAGAATAGAGGTAATTGCTCATTTTCTAATTTAATTTTCATTATATTTCAATATTCAAAATGTCAAAGAAATACTTCGATGCCTAATTTATCTAAAAACTGCTTTTTTGAAGTAAAATGTAGTTAGGATTTATAAAACCATTCAAAAGCCAAGAGTACTTAAGGGTTTGGGCTCAACTGCCAAAAACAGCATATCATTTTTTAAGTTATAATTTAAAAGCCCCTTCAGTTTTATCCCACTATATTATAGTACTATTTTGCACTTTTTTTTAGTCAACTGTCCATTCTAGCTATACTATAGTAAAGATAGGATAGTGCCCACACTCCTTTAAACAAACAAAAACAAAGATTTTCGAAAAAGAAAAAGCCTAAAGTGTGTATTTTCCAAACACTGTGTTGACTCCCCTTCTACTAAAGAAGAATCACAGTCCATTCGGTCTTATTTAATTCAAAGAAGATTTTATTACTCAGCCTTAATGTGAATGCCTCACAATTTTATTAAAGAACATCAGGGATTTTAATGAGATTACCTAGTAAAGTACAAGCATTCTTTCCCCACTCATTAGCTAAATTACCTTGAGAAAGTTATTTAACCTGTTATTTGAGGCTGCTGCCTCCTCTGAAAAAGGGGGTTGCTGTGAGCATTATATGAGCTAAGGCATGGAAATCGACCTAGTAAAATGTCTGATACAAAGAAAATACTTATTTAATATTAATTTCTTTTCCTCTCTCTGTTCCCTCAAGGCTCCTGGAAAAACACAAAATGATAATGTGCAGATAATTAGCAGAACAGTTTGTAGCATGCACATTAACACTGGGACATATTTCCATTAATGCTTCCCTTGTACAGAAACACATCCCATACATCCTTGAGATTCCTGAAGAATAATCATCTTTAAATACGACTTGGTTTTCACTGGCTTCCTATACACCTCACATCATATATTGTAGAAATTCCCTCAACCAATTGATTAATGAAATAACTTCGTTAAATTGGAGAATCATTAAAAATTATACAAACAGTAAACACTAAGGTAATAAACATAAATATTCATTCCCCTATCTTTGAATGTGTAAAACTGAGTACGGGTCCATTCTTTAGAGTTGTACTCGTCTTTTTTGCATGAACTACACCCATAATGTATCATCTATAATTGCCAGTTTGGATTTCTTTAAAATGTGGTGGTAGAACTTAAAATTGCTTTTTTAAAACCATAAACATAGAATCCTAGATTTTTTACAATCTTCATCTAGTTCAAGATTAATTTTTATTGACTGTATCCATAAGTCTTTACGTAGCATTATCAGCTTATTTCACACTTATTTCACCAACTTATAGAAGGTTTAAATAAATTACAACAATAGAGTTGGCATAAACAACTGCCTCTTGGTAAAGTACACCAGCCAACCGATGGGAGAAGCAGGCACACGGGTACATTGGAGAATAATCTAACTGTGTGGAGTATTGAGGAATGTGATT